GTTTAGCCCTCTGTACCCCTTTTTATCATTTCATTTTAGTCTGAAGAACAAAAGAGCTTTTTCTTTTTTTTCTTTTTTTAAATTTTTATTTCCTTTGTTTTTACTGTCTTTTTTCAACAAGGGTTTCTGTCACGCTAATACTGATAACAGCAGGTACCCCGATTACCTCTATACCTTTAGGTGTGACTGAAGGCAGACTGTATCAACAGTGGCCTTGTTCTGACGTACTGATTTGTATGAGGCCACTGGAAAACAAATTAACAGTAAGTTCCCGAGAATGAGAAAAGTAAAGCCTATGCTTGAGTTAGCCAAGAAGAATTTTCTATTTTATCTCATTAAATCTGGGCAGTTTAGTCAATGATTACTCAGTTTAAAGCAGGTAATTTTCTTCTCAAAGTAATATTCTGCACTAGTAGTTACAGGTTTTCCTGCTTGACTTTTGATGGCTGTCTACCTCCAACAAAAGTGGAATGCTGAACTATAGCTGACATAACAGAGTAGCTTAATGTAAAAGTACATCACCTTTCTCCAGGGACATCCTCTGAGAATAGTGGGGGATCAGATACAACCTCATTGCAATCAATAAAAGAAAAAATTGAGACTCTTTTATCATTAAAAAGTTACTATGTATTTTTCTTTTGCAAGACACTTTTAGATTTCACTTGAGTTACTTCCAAATTGATTATTGAACTGAACTGCTGATCCTGATTTCTATTCTCTCAACCTCAAATATACAAAAAAAAAAAAAAAAAGAAGAATCTCCTCACAAATCTCTAAAGGGGCACAGTGGCACTGTAACCCAGAGGTTTTCTGCACATGTAATTACAGTTCTCCCACCTCTGTGACAGTGACTTAAGATCTTAACATGCATATAATACTGTACTCTGAAAAAAAAAAAAGTTAAGTTTAGCTTTGCACTCATTCTGCTGATGAGGTGCTGTAAGCAGGGTAAGACATCTGGTAGGTACAGCAGCTTCCCAAAGCTTCTATCTAAGCCACTTCCATCTAAAGCTTGCTTAACCATGCAAACTTGGGTATTCCAGCTGAATTACTACAAGTGAAATGTCCTTTTAAAATCACTCATAAACCAAAATATCACTCTGCATTTATATTTTTGATGTTTACATTCTGGATTAAGATACTAGGAACAACAGTTCCCCTATTAAGTTTATTCTTACTCAAACTAATATTTGGCTACACCATAGGAGTTTCAGTGTTAAGCCCCCCACACTCACCAAGACATCTTAAAGGACCCATTATTCAAATGTAGTAGCTAGCTGAGGGATCCAAGTTTCTAAGTACCTTACACATGACCAACTCTGGGGCAAGCTAGCAGTTGTGATTTCTAATCATTCAATCAACCAAAATATACACATAACATCTTTCTGTAAACAGAAACAGGAAAACATTAAATGAAAGACTATTTCCTTAGAAACTGCCTTTTTAGAACATCTGACCATTTTGACTATCTAAACTATTCCATATGAAAACAAAGGTATGAAAGATTGTCTTTTGAACATGGCATGCCAACTTGCCTTGACAATTGGAAGCTACTCATAAGAGTTAAGAGCTGAATTTCAGCAATTACCACTGCAAAAAAAGCACAAGACTTGTGTGGAACTAGATTCTCAGAAGAAGGAAATGGTTATCAGATAAAAATACATTCATGCAGAAGGCAAAGCATACTCATTCTTTGTTTTTCATGTTAATTCCCTATTTCAATGCTGTGCATAGATAAGGATTTTCCCCTTTGTAAGTGGTACAAAAATAGATCATTCTAGGTATGAAAAGTGTTTTGATACTTGACAAAAGAAAACTCTATGTATGTTTTCTTAAGAGAGCGACGTACTGACGAGTAAAAACTCAGTGGCGTAATATGAGGGATTCAGTCGGTAGAGTTGAGTGTTGAAATGGTGCTATGTGAACATACCATTTCAAAACCTGGGAACCAATGCACGAGACCAGACACTGCTCCACCTCCCAGGTACAGCATAGATACAGGCTTACTGAGCAGAAGGTGAATTTAGTTATTTGTAACTGTGTTAAGATTTCATGTTGCCTTTGTGGAGAAACGCTAAGAGTTTCAATAGTCAGATGTGCTCAGTGCTCTCAACCAACTTTTCCCTCTTTTGTGTCTCACTCACTGATACCTGATGGCTGGAACACCCAGTCTCCTGAGATGCACAACTCCAGAGAGTCAGTAGCATTCAAGTGAGTCTGGCGCATGCACCTGCTGGGGAGAAAATACAAATCTCTGATTCATATTGAATTCATTCACTGCATTCCGAAATGATGTGAAGGGTTTAGAGGATAACAGTGTTAAAAATATTCTGCATTTTCTAGGACAAATCTGTTGCTGTTTTTTCCAAGGTTTCTTCGAGAGATGCAGGCTGTACGTTTCTAATCATCACTAACTACTTCTCTTATTACAATATTGACTGGGTCATTTGGAATATGAGGAGACAAGGGAGCAAGCTTGCATACTACAGTAACTTTTTATACTTTACCTTCATCTATTTATAAATTTATTATGAAGAATATTTCTAAGCAGATACAAAACCTGCTTTATGTTGTGAATTGTAGTCTAGTAGATACATTGTACTGTGTATCATTAAAAATTTAATTAAACATTTGGCAATTAATATCTTTTGTGGTTATTTTATGCATGTAATTTGCTGTGGCTGTTTATCCAAAACAAAAAAATGAAAAATCTAAGAAATTCTGTATCCTTTATACAGTGCTGTATGTTCTTTTAATTTTAGACGAGATAGCTCAGTGTATTCTGTTAAACAAGCAGTACTTGACTCTTACACATACTTACGATTGCCCATCACCTGCATAAATGCATGCACATAAAAAGGATTCAAAGTCTTCCATGTTGGAGGTGCAGATAACTTTTTCTCAATGTTTACAATTAAATGTAAACAATGTGGTTAAAACTGCACCTTCCCTAAGGAACATTTATATCCGCGATTTTATTTAGTTACTGTAAATTAAACAAAGCATCCTCATCTATGGCCAGGAACTTAACTATTAAGCTAGTGGAAAGCATAAACACAGATACACTGTCATAAAGCAAGAGGTGAGACTTGAGTCCTATTGAAAATGCACTTCTAATTTTGAGAAAAACTCTTAGCTACATTACAAGCACTGCTTCTGCTACAGAAGAAGGTAATAGATAAACCTGCCAGAAGCCTAGCTGGGTGTTAACTGCACATGTTTAGCATGATCGTGGATTCTTAGCCTGGCATACAAGATCAACAAAAGCAAAGAAGAATATCTTTTAATTAAGCAAGAGATTCAGGCTCAGCTGATTTTCAGGTGGGTTTACTTTGTGTTTGCTATTTTGAATACATATTGATCTGTTATTCATAGAACTGACCACATACTCTTCAGAAACTTCTGATGTGCAGGCTGTTTGAATGTTGAAAGCAGGATATATCTCATCACCCCAAAATCCATAGTTGTATACAAAATACTTGAATACAGTCTGTGTTAGTCAGTGATCAGAACCATTGGCCTGAGCAAGTTCACACACCTTCAGCTGTCTGTGCAATCAGCATAACTGAAAACAACATGTAGCTGCATTAGTTTCAGATGTATTTGCACATCAGTTTACAACACTATATTCAGTCATTACAAAGGCAGAATGATACCTCAGTGTCACCATGTGCTAACACTATGAGCTGCACTGAAAATAATTGCTTCTAACAAGTAATTTACCCTATTGAGATTTAAAGGTAGGTGGTGGGAACAAAAAAATCACAGTGGCAAAATCAAAGCTTAGAAAAATGTTTCTGTGAATAATTTGTTAGTTTTCCTTTCTATGCATCACTCTGAAACATGTTCTGAACAAGAAATAGCTGACACAGAGCTGGCAAACTGAAGTTCTGAAAATCCAGTGCAAGGAAAACATAATGGTTGTATGCTGGTCTCTGCAAATCCACCCACAAAACAAAACCCAGATGCTCCAGGGCCTTTCAGCTCCTATAGCCTTTTCACATTTCACAGGAAAAACAAATAAATTAGTGTGACTTCTTTCCCCTATCTCTCGTTGAAGAAAGCCCAACCAGTTGTTTAGAATTCAGATGTTTTCCCAAATCTAACGTGACTGATATATTTGAAGTCACCTACAGCCAAACTGGGGAGCAACATCTGGCTGCTGTTTTCAGGCGCACCATGCTGAGCTCATCTCTCAGACTGCGTAGGGCAGAATGCGTCCGACACAAACACTGAGTGAGGAGGGACCAAGTTCTTAGTATTCATTTGAAATCAAGAGTGGATGAGAGGATGTATCCTGGCACCCGCCATTTTTGCAGCATTTTACCAACTTACCACTTAACAACATGGGGTTTGGTCCACGAGGATGAACTTGAAACACTCTGGACCTCGGAGAACGTGTGAGGGCGGTAGCTACTACTTGAACGAATAAAAGCATGGAGAAGAGGCTATCAGTCCTCCACCGCACCACTTCCCCACACCCGGCCCCACCGCCCCTCTGAGGTAACCCAACATGGCGGGCAGCCAACATGGCGGACAGCGCCCCGCGCGGCCCGCCTGCAGCGCCAGCACCGGCACGGCTGGGCAGGGCACGGCGCGCGAGGGCAGCGCAGCCCCTCTGCTGAGGCGGCTCTCACAGCTGCACCGCGGGAAGCGCGATTAACCCACAGCCAGCGGTACCGACAGGCGCACGGCACCCAGCTCAAAAGTGCAGGCGTGCTGCAAAGCCGATGGTTCCTTTCTTGACATTTAAGAGTTCCAAGATGTGACATAAGTTTTATTTTAAATCAAGCTTTGGTTTGGTTTTGTTTTTTAAAATATATGGATGGAGAAATATCTTAAAATGTGTTTTAAGTATCACAATCCTCAAACTTTAACTCCTTAAATTCCTCAAAAATACTCCCAAAGAAAAAGATACGAAACTGAAGAGCATACATGACAGGAGTTTAAAATACTGCAAATTCACATTAGTAAAAAGCACAGGACTTATTCTTCAGAGGTTGCTTTGGAGGGTTATTATTATTTTTTTTTATTTAACAGAAAATGCTTGAATGTAGAAAATGCCACCAGCACAGAAATGAAGGACAACGACGGAAACTTCACCACAACCCCCAGCATTTGCTAACAGTGACTTCACTGCGTTACTCCGGAGCATCTCGGGCCACCTGCATTTCCAACAGGACATTTTAGCCTTGAAAGAAGTGCTGTCACACCCAGCAGTGCGGCCAAACACACCAAACACAACACGTGGGACGTGCTGCCGATTTCAGTGAGGTAAGCACTGAAGCTCAAAACACATCAAAAGAATACAAGTGAAAATCCACGTAGGAGGACAATCAAAGAGAGAAAAAGTTAACACAGTTTGAGACTTCTCTCAACAAACCTGATATTCATTCATCTCGCACTTCACTGGTTAGACAGAACATTTTACCATGCTGGTTTTCACTTTACGCATTACCTTTCAAGTAATGGAAACATTTCTTCTACAGAGTTCCACATTTAACTCATTTACCAATGTACCAATTTACCACGTTAAAGTATCATTTCTAACAGACAGTGTTACCCATTGCATTATTGATTCTGATGCAATGTTCTATGACACGCTGAAGGAAAATCTCACCTGCACCACTTCTTGAGTTAACAAGATACAACATTCAAAGGAGAAGTCTGCCAGAGTAGCATCTTCACTTGTACAACATGGAACAAGCCTAGCTAACACGCTGTGGCCAGTGCTTTAGTATGCCAACAGTTCTTTCAAGTTTTACAGTAATTCCAATATATAGGTCATCTTTGTTCATCATCCGTGGCACCAACTGCCTATATTTTGTTTTGTGCTGACAGATAAATGACAACTGATGCTGAAATGTTCATGCATATCTGGGGGGGAATAAAAGGAGAAAAATTGAACAGTGCCTTCTTCATCAACTTCCACGTTTTTATTCCTTGCTTCACTGAAAGTCTGAAACAGGTTCCAGTAAGAAAGAATTCAGCAATGTGCTTCAATACTGAAACAACACAACTCTGGTTATCCTGATGTCTTACAAAACCTTAACAACATTCTTTACTTAAAAACATTTGGCATGCTTTGTAAGTAGTTGGCATATTACAGAAAAGAGATAAAGAAACAGACACATTCACTTGCTGCAACAGTAAGAAAGGTAAGAATGGACTGCTGTAATAGTTTTCCAGTGAATAAAAACAAAATACAATATTTGGAACAGTGTCCTTAAACTTTAAACCCTGCAACCAGCAAGGTATGTTGAAAGCTACTTACAAAACATGAGTGAATTAATCAACAATCCTGACAGCAGTGGAAGTGACTGGAGTGGCATGCAAACAGAAAACACAACAAAAGCCTGACTTAATGGCAGCACTGTTGTTCTCTTCATGACATGAAGAGTACTCAGATTTTGATTTCAGGATAATAAGCAGCATAGAAGTTGGCCAGGACATCATTTCTCCTTACCCCACCAGCTGAGAATGTTTGTAAGGCAGCATTCTGCTTCTGCAAGAACTCTGGAAGACTCTCAGATTTGTTGTACCATTTCTTATTTCTGAAACAAAACAGATCCCACACCTCACTAGTCCTAAGGTGATTTTACATGCTACTTCCATGTAAGTTGACTTCATTTTTAAGCATTTAATTGACTTATGTTTTCCAAACAATAAGGGACAGACACACAGCTTATCTCAAGTGTTATCTCAGTGTGTTATAACCAACACAGAAGATATTTTCAAATACATCTTTTGGATTAAAATGGTTAGAAGTATTTTATAAAAATAAGTTTTTTAAAAAATGAACAATTATAAAAATCCATGAACCAAACACATAACATCGACACAAGACAAAACATTACACTCGAGGGCAGTCAGCTACCACAGTGGTACAAAGCTTCAAGTAAACTAGTAGGCACTTTTTGCCCAAATAGCAGTCACTCATTCAGTGGAAAAGTCCAGGTGAAATGCCCAAAACAATTTCCAAAATTACCCACAGAAGTGCAAATAAAAAGGCAACAACAAAAAGGCCAGGTGTTACACCACATAGGACACTCACTATCTGCTGCTTTCCCTGTATGACTGTTCAGTTAGCAGGAGTTCCAAAATTTCTGTTAACAACTCAGCCTTCATCAGCTTATACTGGCATTTCTTTTAAGGGTTTACGTGTCAGAGCATAGCAGCAAGGCAGGTCCAGATACATTGGAAAACAGATAAAGAGAAAGGCTGCATGGTTACATCTGAGTAAGTACAGAGACAGAATATTCTTGAATTCAACTCTTATGTGAAGCAACATATTTGAAAGAATCAAATCATTCTGCTCATCTTTTGCAGAATACTTACTGTGCTCTCTATCAAACAATTTGTAATTATGTGATTGACCCAGTCTCACTATCAAAAACCTCCAATAACTAGAAGGTAAATCTTTCAAGAAAGAAAAGAATCAATGTTCACACAGGAATTTAAGGACCGATAAAACATAAGCAATTATGAAAAATAACTATTGGAATACCTAAAATAATGAATAACATCCAAATAAAGAACAGCTAAAGCAATAAATTAGTTTGAAATACTTTTAAAGTATTATTTATACTTATATAAAGTATTTTAAACAGATTTTTTTTAATTTATATAGTCTTATACTAAGTATATTAAGCACATTAATCTACTTTCATATTTATTGTATTATGCACTTTCATATTATAGTATTATATGTTAAAAAGTAAACAAAAAAAATAAATTAAAAATAAAAAAGCAGTTTGTGGCATGATTTTAAAGCACAGTTTTGGGGAAGACAAGTGTAACATTGAGCAGTCCTGAAGAAATCATGTCATGTCAATTAGGAGCAAAGTTCTCCAACTGGAAGATCAGGTCTACAGCAGCATTAACATCTGGTACCACATGATCTGGTTCTACTAAACCAGGATCAAACCTAAAATCTCTGTGGCCATGGAATATCGTTTCAGTTCTGCTCTCTTTGGTATCCAAGGGTATCTCTGTGTGAGGGTTGTAAACCCCAGTACAAACCAGAACAGACCTGCAGTGGGTAGCAGCAGAGGATGCCAGTTCATTCTCCCAGCTGTTGGCTATTTCATCATCCTGAGAGAGAGCAGCAGACCCTTTGCCACCAGCAACTTTGGCCTGAATCCATGTTTTTGAGCCTTTTCTGGAATTCTTCTCTTCAAGATAGCGATTGTAAAGGTTAGCACCATACACATCAGTCATGAGATTATCTCTGGAAATACAAACAGTACTTCAGTCAGCAGCACAATTTTAGTTCTCCAAGTGTATGAAAGGACATCAAGGTTTTAACTATGTATTCTGCATTTTCCATAACTTCGTGTGGAATTATTTACACAGGAGAAAATCCAGTCATATAGCAATTTTATTATGCAGTTTCATTAACCGTGACAATTACTAGGAGTGAAAATTCCCCGTACTGAGACTTCCAGACCTGGGATAGGGTGAAGGGAAAGCAAGGACAGCTATTAGCAGTCCATTAATAAGGTTATATTTCCAAGCATCTTGGAGATTCTGGAACAATCCTTGATAAAACACAGCTTTATCTCATTCTATTAAAATGATTCTACAATGGCACTCACTGCACGCATAGTAATATATGACCAAGTTCAATTACACCTCAAATCAACTCTAGCTCCAACATTCCTTAAAATGTCATGTACTACTCAAAGCTTGTGGTTGTTATACCACTAAGTTAAAGAAAACAAAACAACCCCTCACAAACTTTTTGTTAAGGGCTCAAAGAGCATTTTAAATAAATTAATAAGAAACATAAAACCTCCCTTTCATACTTGCACAGAAATGGTACATACATCTAAGAATCAAGTGGAAGGCTAGAAACTGAGAGGCATGAAAACACCTAGGTACAACACAGTGCTAACCATTTTCAGTTGTCCCAGCAGTGACACAATGGGCCTAACCATACAAAGAGTTGTGTGTTTTTATTTTTCAGTATTTATCTTGAAAGTAATTTCTTGATGTATTCATCAGACTTATAATTTCTTACCCAACAGCATAAAGAGTTAGAATGGGTTGCTTCCACTGTCTTTCTGCTGCTTGAGCTCTGATAAGGTAATCTGCATACTGATAGGTCAATTCACTAGGCTTGCCCATTAAGGCCTCATATTTCAGATCTTTGCCAGTAATCTTCTTGTAGATGTTTTCCAAACAAACCATGAACGTCCCATGCCCAAACCTAAGAAGATGGAAAGATATGTGACAAACCAAATTACATCAAGCATACAGAAAAAAAAACAAGACCTTTTTTATTTCATTATCTGTTGCGAGTCAATTCCTGTTACTATGAGATTTCTCTCCATTTGCATGCAGCATTCCCACAGCTTTTTCAGTAATAATTAAGTGCTGATTAGCTAACCTATAAAGATAATAATGAAGAAAACATAATTGGAAATTATTGGTTTCAAAAACATAGCAACAATTTGTAATGGTGTTGCATGCATTTACACAGATCTGATCATTTTCAGAATGGACACCCTTTGAAGAAATGCCTAGGCTGTCATCTGCTCTTTGCAGTGACTGAACAGAAGCAGCTGAAATAACAAAGAGGAGAAATGGAAAAGGAAAGTCAGAAACCAACAGGAGGAAAATTATTCTGTTTTTAAAAACAAGAGTATACCAAAATGCAGTCTACAATGTGAAAACAAAAACTTCGTTGGTTTCTCTCAAGAAGAGATGCAAAAAATCATGGAACAAATTAACACTGCACCAAGCTGCTGATAACTCAATTTATTTGCTCAAGCAAGGTGCGAGCAGCAAGTGATGCAGCTCATCAACCAAGGCAGTAAAATAGTTAAAGACATAATTTCATAACCAAAAAAGCAGCTTTACATCATTAGTGAAATCAGCATGTGGAATTAGGCATGAACTAATACATATCACTTCATTCACCCTCTCCACCCTGTTTATTGTTTCAAGAAATCTGAATAAATCAGCATAAAGTTATTTCCAGTAAATACTAACAGCAGTTTAAAACCACATGCTCAGGGAGTCACTTTTCAACAGACAAAGTAACAAACTCGAAGGAAAAAGCAAACTTTATTTCAGTTTTAATACTGGATCTTTCCTGAGGAACACTACTGGAAATATGCCTCTTAATTCTTCTACACATTATACACACACACTCTCATCACCTTACTCTAGCTGAACTAGCATACGCACATAGTTTGCTAATGTTAGATGTGGTCTTCATAACCAACTAGGAATATCTGACAAGATCACCTACCTGAGATCAAACCCGTTATCAGGTCACAATAATAACAATTTCTGTTTCAGTGTATGTTCACATTTTACACTGAGGGGGAAGGTAGGGGAAATAAACACGTTAAAGAACTGCCTTCTGTTAAAGTCAAAATAAAACACTCTCAGAGATCATGCCATCCTGTCCTATGTGTTCTGTTCATTTTTTCCTATGTTCCTTTACACTATATTGTCTTCAGCTCAAGAACTCATTGCTTTTAGCTAGAGTGACAATTCTTCACCCTGCCAGAAACTAAGTTGGAAAATACAAAAACAAACCAAAAAAAAAAAAGTATCTAATTAAATGAAACATTAGATTTGATTTTTTTTCCCTTTGGACAAACTCTAAGCCTTCAAGCTCTCTTTTGTGAGTGGGGAAACAAAAAAGCTGATGTCATAAAAGCAGTCTTATCTCCAGCAACTGATTTCCTGGATACAATGACACAGGTAGTAATAAGGCAGTATTTGCTGACAGCACGCTGCTTTTGAAACGTTGTATTTGAATCTGAGATCTACCATAAAGCCATATAAAAATGCTGTATGGAAATACTGACTATTAATTGTACTAAAGAAGTGAGGAAAAACCTAAGATGTCACATGGCATACCTGTATGGTGTTATAGCTGCACTTACCTTGGAGACTGTGCTTCAGCTACCCACATTAGATCCATATTACAAGCAAGTACAGGTATCTGAGGGTAATTTTCATGGTGATATGGATTTCCCGGGTAGCCACTGGTCAGCAAAACATCTATTATAAGCTGAAGGTTGGTTTCCCATCTGACAGGCTCCCCAAACAAAATGACAGCTATGAAACCCAGAAATACATAACAGAGTTAGCAGGGCACCATACCTCTGATACAAGCTTGGTTTAACAAGGCTGAACACTAATTTGATTTAAAGGTGACAAAATGAAATACCTGCATAATGTTTTAATGTTTCCTGCTCTTTCACAAAAGAATATCAGAAGTAACAAAGCTTCCAATGCAAAATCTAGAAGTTTAAGAAATTCTTTGATTCTTTGCAATGGCCAAATTGTTCCACAGCACAAAATGTTAACCTACAAATTATACTTCTAAGTCCTCTGTACCTCTGTGAACTCTCTAAGTTCATGTACAGTATTGAAATAATCCATCGGTAATGTTACTTTGTTCATGTTAAAACAGGATTTGGATGCTGTTTCTACATAATTTTCTGGTCTCCAAAAATCAAGGCACTTTTATTTTAATCTTTGGCTAGTTTCTATTTTAATGTTTTCTTCAGACAAGATTCAGACAAGATATGATATGCTGAAACAAGATACTTCTCACTCTACAGCTCTCAGGTCACCCTCCTGAAATCAAGACCAGTTATTTCTGAACATGTCAACTCATTCTTAATATTTAAAAGGAATTCAGTAACAGCCTGCTGAAGTAAGATAAAAGAGGAAAACAGACCTCTCCTTCCTTTGGAAACTTTAAAAACACATGACTGAAAACTGTACACATAAAACAGTTTTTTCACACCTTATACATTCTGTATCAATAACAGATGTCACCAATGAGGAAGCTTTAGAATTGTCTCAGCCAACTTCCCAATATGACCAGTATGAAAATAAATTCTAACGATAATGAAAAGTATAATAAAGATATTCCATCTATTAAGGGATAGTTACAAATTAAGTAAACATAACTGACCCTCAATCTTGGGAAGCTCCACAGCAGAGGGGTACTGAAATAAGAAAAAAAGTGAAAGTCTTCTGCAAGATTAAACATCTGCTACTATTTCAAGAGAATAAAATTCAAGTACAGTTCCCACAGCTGCCTTCCACAACACTGAAAGGAAATGCTCTATTTTGGTGCAGCTACTACTCCAGCAACCAAGGCCAGTTTACTATGAAATCTGCATTTCAAGTTCTAAACTGAAATCCAGCAGCAAATGGATACCAGGCAAGTTATTGCATTCCACATTCAGAAGCTTCAGACAATTTATTCAACTACCTCTGGCAAGGCTCAGAGCTTCAGCTGATGGTTCACTTCTGTACAGAAGCATGGATGTTTATTTTTCTATAGCAGTAACACAGTCCTCCAGCATTAACAAAGGATTTGAAATACCTGTTTTGAAGTACGTGCCTTTAACAGTGCTAAGAAGAAATATATTGTTAATTCATAATATATTTGCTAAAGAAACAGTTTCTACTTCGTGATCTACAGCCCATGGTGACAAAAACATGAATAGTCTCTTGAATTTCTGAATGTGCCTGGTTGAGGAGCAAGGAAAGAGATAATATAATTAAGTAATGAATTGTACAAACCATAACAAAGACCTTTCTGACTACACACAAGGGAAGAACCCCCTTATTTACTGACCCTGTATATGCACAATATACATGCATGTATTTGTGGCATATGCATTCACTTCTTTCTGAAATTCTGCAAGATTCAGTTTAAAACATGCTGCTTATGTAAACTAGCAGTAGGTACTGTTAATATTTAGATATAATTAAATAACCATACGAACAATAAAAGCAGCCTTTTGGAGAAAAGTTCATTAGCTGTAAATCATTGCAACCAAAGCAACTTCATGGCCTATAGAGTCAGTTCCACAACATTCCTCTACCGGAAGAAAAAGCTTACTTCATCTTCCATGCATCTAAGGAAGCCAATAAGCTTTCCAAAACAGATTTTGAATTAGATATCTGTAATAATCACACAACAGTGAGTTACAAAGTGCAAATACTTGTGAAGGAATTACCACTAACAGAAGGAAAACTCTGCATGGTTCTCGAAAAATGTTGCCATGAAACAAATAGAGAAGCAGGAAATAAAAGTAAAGTCACGATGCAACATAAGACAACATCACAGCTCTACAGTTCAAATACTGACCTCCACAGTTGAATGTCATCTAATGACCAAATAAAAATATTTAAACACAGACTCACCAAAACACCCGGTGCTCTGTCGTGGTCAACCACATCCAGCAGCGGGTGCTTCGCCCTCAACATCTCAATGGTGACAGGCTGGCTGAACCCAAGGCTGGGAGAACACCAGTTAAGGATGCAGAACTGCTTATATCAAAATATTTTTTTTTTAATCTGTAATTCAATTTTGACAATTCATGTTCACACATCATCTGGTAAAACAAACTATTTGGAATTGTAAGCATTTTACCAAAGACTTTTTCTTGCATGAGATAAATGATCATTGCTTCATTTACAAAGTCCTATATGAAGTCTGAAGTCTTGACAGAAATGGAGTAGAGAGCTGGCTCAAAATACAAGATGAAAAGGAAGAAGGCTCTCAACACCTGCAGTACTCCCCCAAGATTATCTTTACATAAACATAAAAAGTCAACAACTCAAGTAATTATTACAGGAAGGAAAGCTCTGTCTGTTGCAAAACAGTGGACTGACCAATAAGGTTTAACTACGCCTTGCAGGTGGGTAAGGCAAATTAAGAAACATGTTTAAAAATAAAAGAAAGGAGCAAAAAGTGAGAAAATTCCCAGATCTGCATAGCGCTACTCTTAAATACAGATATATCCCATTAATTTCAACTCACTTAAGACATAACCAAACTAAATCTGCTCATTTTGTAAAAAGCAGCAGGGATGCTACTACCAATAAGACCTCCTCAATGAGTATGGAAACAACAGGCATTTAAATATATTGATTATACAAGCAGAGCCACTGGATTTTCTTTTAGAATTAACACTACAGGTTTTGTTTGAAAATAAGATTATCCCCTGTAAAAATGCTATCTAACAAATTGGCTGCTTATCTGCTGCATTCAATCTTATCACACTCTTCTCTCTTAACATCCCTAACAAACCTGAGCAGGCTGACCTGAAGAATGATAACAGGGGACGAAAGAACAGAAAGAATAAATTCAGGCTCTGAAATACCGTTTCTAAGATAAGGCTAACTATATGATTTACTACAGAGTACTGAAGGATGCCATGTTCTCATCCTCAAGAGAACACAAACCCTTATGCCAAAGGCTCACTACATAAGACAAAGAAATAATGGTCATTTTTCCTTCCCAATTAAAGACATGTAATAGCAATATGAAAAAGTGTTGAATAAATTGAAGCAAAAATCAACAACCAACCATTTTCAAAACTTAAATTTGACATTAAGAATTAAAGTAGCTAATTAGTGAACTCTCAATACTGAATTTGTAGTGCTAAAATATTTGGTCTGAACTTGATTAAGGAAAATACTCCAACGGAAAGTTTATTTTGTCCTTTTAAAGATACTCCTGAGCAATATCAAGCAGTGGTCCTTGTCCAGATACAAGAACGCATTTTGGATGATAACGTTTGAACATCCGCAGTGGGCTGTGAGACATCATCACTTGGTCTTGTGAAATCTGTTTGGAATTTAAAAACAAAGAGAAGCATATTGCTTTTCAGAGAAGTTATTTATACATAGATTTAATTAACAGATATGCATATTCTACGAATTACAAACCAATCATACATGTCAACATAAAACCCTGTCGTATCATTTCTTCCTAATATTCACAGCTAAATTACTGATAGTTCCAGAAAAAAAGACATAACTACACTACTAATTCACAACCCTTCCAGCTTCCACAGTTCCTCTATTCAGCACAAACACAAGGTTCTCTAAATTCATTTAGTAAACAGATGGGGACAGAAAACTCAGAAATGCTCTGGCTTTAAATATGGTGCTAAAACAAAAACTCATTGAGCAGCATGTAATGGAAAATCATGTGTTAGATGCATTCACCAAAAGTAAGAAAATACATAGGATTTAGGCTACTCACTGGAACTCCCAGTACATGGGACAGCTGATCTGCTTTCTTCTGGCGAAGGCAATCCCCTGCATTGGTGACAAATACTACAGGCACCAAGAACTGGCCCTGAGAGTTAACCAGCTTCTGAAAGGCTGTTTTTGCAGCAGGTATTGGAGTCTTTCCTCGTACCAGCACACCGTCAATGTCAAAAAGAAACCCAAAGGATGGCAGCACATTCAGCTGTGAGAAGGAACAGAAAAGCAGGAGTACATTAATTGTCCATACACACACATTCAATAAAAAGTACAGTACCTGAAGCTCAGTTAAAACGCACACTTCCACAGGGAAGGAATGGATCTTTTATTGTGCACTTCTTAATGTGTCTTACAGGCACGTGCTGCAACACTACAGCTTGCTTCTCCTTATCCACATGACCCATGAGTTCTGCCCAGTCTGTGTGGTTTCAGAGACCAGAACAAACTGAGGTAAGCTGGTAAAACGAGGGGCAAGATGCCAGCGAGCCTGTTTCTGATTTCACTTGACCTGGGAGCCAAAAGGCAATTTTAATGCAGAGAATACTGACAGAAACCACTAAAAGCAACAAGAAATGGAAACGTTTCAGGAGTGGGTAGGGGTTTATTGCACACACTGCACAGACTCCTCCCTTACAAGACAACCAGGTGCTGGAACTGTTCCTGCTGCCACTCGTCCTCTTTGCGTTCCCTGGCCCTGCTACAGCTATCTGTTCCTGGCCCTCATACAGTGCTTCAGCAATTCCTAGTTCTGTACGTAGCACACTAATGCCTGCTGTTAAAGCTAGCACTTCATTAAAGCTGTTACTGAGAATTTTAACTCTCTGTCTTTGAATAAGTGAAGAACTGGGTTCATCGGCCCACAAGGATCATAACCAGCTGGGTGAGGCAGGGCTGCCCATGGACAGCACTTTTACCACACCAGGTTAGAAGGGACACAACAGAAGGAACCAAGCTTCACTCCTCTGCCAGCCGGAAACAGAGTCCAGGGCTTCAGGATTAACACGGACTGAGAGAATAAGGGCCAGTGCTAAGCGTGACAGCGAGAACGGGGGGAATGACTGCAGGCAATGGAGCCGGGACAGCATTTGCTGCTGAAGCTCTCTGAAGGGACAGACTGACAGAACACAGCCCAAAGGCACCTTGCCTTCCGAAGCAGCGCTTCACTCCCCATCGATTATTCATCTGACGCATTTCCCACAGCCGGGCACAGCGCTGACACGGACAACATGGACACCGCCGTACGTGGCTGCCGGCCGAGCCTCGACGAGCGCTTCCCTAAAACCGCGACTCAGAGCACGTCTGCATACCCACGAGTTCCCCTATAGAGCCCAGCCTAACGAAGTCAGTGCCTTAAAAGCACCGCGGTATCACTGACTTATCCGCGCCGCTTGCCGCTTGGAGTTCCGCACACGAGCTCCCGCGGACAGCCCTGTTTTCTCCCCTCCGTAACCGCAGCCCTTCGCTTTAGGGCACAGCAAACACCCGTCCCACGTGCCGCACAGCGAACGGCGCCCGGCAGAACGCAGAACCCGCCCCGCGGCCGCCGTTCCCCACGTTCCGCACTTCCGCCCGACGCCGTTTCGGTTTCGTTCCGGCGCGCCCCGCCCCGCGCAGCGCCTGGCCGAGCCCTGCCCTCTCCTCTCCTACCTTCCCGCCGTTCCCCGCAGCCGCCGCCGTGCCGCCGCGCCGCCCTCCGAACGCCGACAGCCAGGGAGGCCGCCCCACCGCGCCGCCCCCGAGCGGCCCCGGCAGCCCGCGGAGCGGCAGCGCCCAGCGCATGGCGGAACTGCACGAGCGGCCGCGCCGCCGCCGCCCCGGCTTCAAAGCCCGGCCCCGCCCCGCGGAAGGCCCCGCCCCGCCCCGAGCCGCGGGGACGCCGCCCGCACGACGCCGGCAGAACCGCGGCCACCGCCACGGGAAACAGCGGCACGGCGCGGCACCTCCACAGGGAACGGCGCGTCTCTTCTGTAACAACAGCGGCACGCGTTCCGGCGCTTCGGAGTCACCGCCCTTCGAAAAAGAAGCACATCGCATCTGTACGGGGCACTGCGGTACCTCGGATGCAGGACCGACATCGCGGCACTTCCCGGCGACTGGACTGAAACGCGAGGAGCCAAACAGCGCTACCAGGGGCTGGGTACCCCGCAGTGCTGTCGGCTAACGCGCGTCAAGCAGATCCGCTCAGTCCCGGCACCGCACCCTGAGCCGTTCTTCCCACCAACCGCTCAGATTGAAGGGACAAACGGAGCTCCGGGGCCCACACGGCTCTTAAGCAGCGGGTGGCAGGAATGAAACAAAGCCAATGCGTTTTTGAAACACAACAGCACGAGCAGAGCGCTGTGGTGAACAGAGCAACTCAAGCACTACAGAGATCATTCCTTCACGGTCTGGGCCAAGATCCTGCACGACGCAGAACTCCACAACACAAAAGCACATGCTCACACACACACAGAGATCATCATCACCCAGGCACAGTCAAAGCTGAGCTGCTGCACCAGTGGTAGTTAAAAGCCCCCTACATCCACATCTCTAAGTCCAGCTGCACACCCAAAGCAGCAATTAGCACAGAGCCTGTGCACCATTCTGTTTGCCAAGCCAAACTGCTAGCTCAGGTTCATGGCTACAGCAACTTGCCAGCAGCCTAACAGCCTGCAAAGCCAGCACTATGCAGGTATTGCTAGAGGTCACTGCTGAGAAATGACTACGGCACAATTTGTTGGTTCAGATATGCTGAAGAACATTCCTCATGCAGTGCTGCAGTGTTTGGCAGCTTGCACTGCACAGCTCCACACTGCGTTTTTATATATATATTCCATTTCTGTGTTGGTCAGGTGGAAATAAGCATTTGCTTCAACAACTTCTGTCTCATTACATTGGTCTTGCTCAGAGCTGTCAGCTACTCTTTCGAACATGAATACAATTACTATCTTGTTTTAAACTTTTCCTCATTCTTCCTGAATATTCATTTTTATGCCACTTCTCATTACTTTGTCCCAAATCTTTCTGTCCTTTTTCTTTCATGCTTATGGTGACAGAAGAATCAACCACAGGTGTGCATAAACTCCCAAACCACAGCAGGCCATAAAATCTAGTGGGTTTATTCCCTGCTAAGTCTAGCTTGGTTATCTGCAGAGCATAACAAGTTTTGCATTTTTCTTACAACTATTCCACCAGAAGAAAAAGTCATTGTACTGAACAACAAAAAAATACAGCCTACTAGAAGCATGATTGCAAAGGGGCTGTTTACAAGCGAGCTTTAACTGCCCTTTTGGCAAGCCCATTAGGCAGTTCCAGTTTGCTTTTTATTTTATATTTCAGAGAATCACAGAACTGTAGGGGTTGGAAGGGACCTCCAGAGATCATCGAGTCCAACCCCCCTGCCAAAGCAGGTTCCCTACACCAGGTAGGGAACCTACAAAGGTTCCCCTTTTTGTCATACTGTGGTTTGTTGACCAATGGTAAGGACTTAACAGGCTGCCTGCCGACATAGTAAGCTCCAGGAGCTCAGTGGCTTAGTGCTGGGCAGCTTGCACACACTGAACAATCCCATAGGTGAAGTACACTGCTGTGATCCAGTACTGCCAGTCCATGGGACTGAGCCAACACAGGAGGAGCCTGTTGTTTCATCTTTGGTGGCCAGACATTTCAGGGAAGAAACTCTGGGAAAAAATGTCTTCCACAGCAGTACAAACAGCCTGCAGATCAAGTGCACTAACTTTATAAAAACGAGACCAGAAACCGTTACTCAAGGGGCAGCAAAAACCAAAGAACAGAGTCAGAAAGATGCACAGTGCAACTCAAAGCACACCAAATCAGTCAGAAACTTACTAGCTTGCTGCTTTGTAACAACAGAGCTAAATGAGAAATAGAAATAAAACAGAAATCAAAATTAAAAGCAATTAGTAACTCTGGAGCTCCCTGGCACGGTTAGCTGTTAAACACTATATTCCATAGATAGCACTTCTGCTCCTTGGCTGTACAGTTTGAAGTTCCCTTCATTCAGACCCATACAACAGCGTGGGTCACTGTAAGACCCTAAGCAGGTCCTCTACTGTGCTGTCTCTTACCACTACACATAGGCTGTGAGCAGCAGGGGCACACGACTGCAAATCACTGCATGTCTGACTTCATGATCCCATTCTTTCATGGTGATTAAGGAGAAAATGATCCTTAAGCCAGAATGAAGCAAGACATCACTCTGTACAAAAATTTTACTAAAAATATTTGAACAAGGTATTGTAAAGATGCAAGTATTTACAATGGCTGCTGAAATATCCAGCACTCAGGCAATTCACACAAACATGGCTATAAACCATAAAAATGGCAACAAATTTAGACATGTTTACATAAAGAAGCAAATCACCTTCAAAGCCAATCATAAGATCTGCCCATCCAGTCATTCTGAAACAGGTCCTAGGCTATTCTGGTAAACTAACCAGGCATCAAAGAGGAAGTTACTTCTGGACTCAGGTCAGCTAAATTCAACATGAGAAAAACGTGTACACTTTCTGTCAGGATACAGAATGGCAGAACCATCAGTCAGATTTCTCTCACTGCTTATAAGTGACTTGGCTTGCTGCTCTACCTGTAAGAGGCACCACTGCATAGACGCACAAAGTGAAAGGACTGAAGACTGTTTACTGAAGATGCAGAGATCAAGTTAAACTAGGCTTGATCTTTCTCAGCACCAAAATCAAGCCATCCTAGCAGATAAAACAAAAAGGGTGTTTTCCCTTTTGTAGAAAACACTAACTTAATCACAGCTTACTCTTTCTATTCACAGGACTTTCTGCTGGAATAGAAGAAACTGTTGCTTTAGGACAGATTATAGAACTACAGGACATACTCGTGCAATGTTACAATCCTAGAAGTCTTTTTGCTTCTTCACTCTGTGCCATCAGAGTTTCACTAGCATACTTCTGAAGAAGCTCCATCTTCTTTCTCCGTACAAGAGCTTCCTCAATCTGCAAATATAAAAATATGAAAACATTCAGCTTAACTCAGATGCTGAAACCAAGAATGCCCAGCTATTAAGAGAGAAATGCAAAAGAAGCAGTGACAGAGGCCTGTGCTACTATAAATTAGTGGAACAGAGATGAATCAGCAATTTCATCTTTAATATTCAAATGTTCATGGCAGTCAAAACAAGCAACACAATGGATGTCTTTATTTCAAATCTCTGCCCCTCCCCTTTTCTATGAGGAAGTTAGCTGCAATTGTAGCTCAGAATCCAGAATGCAAAATCCCACAGGCGTAAGGCATGGAATGATTTGACACTTCAAAAAAAGACTGAATTCACTACTGCCTAACTAGGAGAGACTGCTATGTAAATCAATGGTTAAGTCAAAACCAGTCTTCAGTCTGTTACGCTCTCTTCATTTAGAGAAGACCATCAGTCAGAAAGCAATGTTTTCAATCAGCGTTTCTCTCTTCACAGTTTTGACAACCCATTAAAAATATTTTGCTGAAGGTACAGAATCATGACTTCACAGCAGAATACAGCATTGTGATCTAACAAGATGACAGTAGGTGGTAAAACACCACAAGCCATCTGAGTGACATCAAGGCATACCTACCAACACATTTCTAACTCCAGAATGTTCCTGACTGTGTTACATATCAAGCTACCTGTCATGGTTAATGCAATATATATCCTAGAGCTATTTCAGTCCATAACTGCCACTCAAAGTCAAGCCACCCAAATCATTTTTGGTAAGTGAGAGCAAACTGCAATTTAGAACTAATTGCTAAATTGAAAAAAACAGTTAGACTAGTAGCAGAAAAGCACGGTAAAGATTTAGTGGGAAACCAGGGTTATCCTGATCATAACTGATAAATAACTGATCATAAGCAACCATGACTGAGTGCACCTCAGCAAGTTTGCTATCAACACCAAGTGGAGTGGTGCCGGATGAGATGCCATCCAGGTCTGACAGCATTGAGAGGTAGGCCTGTGCAAACCATGTGAAATTCATAAGGCTGAATGCAAGGTCCTGCACATGGGTTAGGGCAATCTCCAACACAAACATCGGCTGCATGACGCAAGCTGGACAATGAAGGGAGCGAGAGTAGTCCTGTGGAAAAGGACATTAAGTACTGGTGGACAGAAAACTGAACAGCAGCTGGCAACATATTCTTGCAGCCCAGAAAACCAGTCATATCATGGGTTGCATTAAAAGAAATGTGGTTAGAAGGGAAGTTATTCTCCCCCTCTATGCTGTTCTTATGAGACCCGACCTGGAGTACTACATCCAGGTCTAGTTCTCCCAGAATTCTGTGATTCTATAAGTGTGAATGTGTTGTAGTGTTATGCAACACTTATGATACTTTTGGCAACTCTCTGATGAAGATGGATATAGTAGTGGTACCTTATTTCTGGTCAATTTCATAGCATTTGCAAGAGCACTGAACAGATACAGAATAAAATTACAGGAGCATATCTCTGCAGTTCAGTTTTCTAATGTCTTACCTCCTGTTGAGACGGCACTGGAACATGTGCAATAAATTTCTGTTGGCCTTCTTCACCTTCTTTT